TGAGACCACAGAAAGTATAAAAGCACATAGATCATGCTGAAAGACCTGAACATAGTAAATGGGAAGTTTGGGGGTTCTAGTACACACGCTAAAAGATCATACTCTAAAACTCCTTCACATCTCACATGTAGTGCCTTAAACCTCTCATCTTTGGCCTTTTTATTATCTCACAACAGTATCTTGATCCACACTTCCACGCTCCCTTCTTACCCCTGGAAAGTTTTCTGAACTTTTTAGCTTAGTCATTCCTCAGAAATATTTATATTTCTTAAGGACTGCAAGATGTAAAGGATATGATAAGTTTCCTTAATTAAAAGACACACATTAAAACACATACAAATTTGTAAGGTAAGTGTATGTTTAGTTGTCTCTACGTGTCCACGCCCATCTTCAACTTATTTTGTTTTGATCTTCTATATCAGAAGGCATAGCATGATTTATTTGATTACTTTCGAAAGAATCTAGGTACTGTGACCAGGGAGTCACTTTTTTTCCTGAAGTATTTAATTAGTCTGTAAGTGGAACAGATATTGTAGGACAGACTGTGTACCAATCTCGCAGCACTATTTAGACTATGAATATTCATTATCCATGAATTTGAAAAATGCAAACACTGAACTGTTTAAAAGTGTATTTAAAGGCAGCAATCCGTGTGTGAAAACTTACGTTGCAGTAAGTATATATTTATTATACCTTAGCTAGACTACATTAGATTTCACAATACACACACAAAATTGATTCCAAGTTTCTAAAACAGTAACTTTCCACCCACGTCACTGTGGGTGGTATCTGCTACATTCAAGATTAAAATAAAATAGTTAATAACACAGAAAGCCCAAAATGTTTATGCCTCTAAATTTTACAAGTAAATTGTGGAAGCCTTCTTTATAAGCAGTAAACATGGTGAAATACCACATTTTTATCAGCATCTACCTTCCACCAGAACTAATCTCTCCGTACTACTGATTATTAAACCATTTAAACAAAAAACAGTAGAGTAAAAAAAGCAAACAAAAAACCCAACTAAAACCCCACTTACTTTCAGTTTTTTCCTTCTGACAGTCATGCTATGTTCCAGTTCCTCTAGTATGCTGTATTCTACCCTGAAATCACTCTTCCTATTGTAAAGATGTCCATTTTTGTCTTTTTCTATATTTGCAAGCCTGGAAAAAAAGGTTGCCACACTGAGTAAGACACGAATACTTAGCAAAGCCCCAAGATTTTCCAAGGTTAGACACAGCCTCAGCTGGATAACAACAGGACTGTCTTAGATTTTATACAAGTCACTTGTTTGTTCCTACAGCTGTTTTCAAGGAAAATCTTTCTGCAGCTGTAAGACTACACACCAAAGTAACCCAGTAACTTGAACAAGAGAAAGAAATTAACAAGGAAATTGCCTCACTGACAGGCAGCAGTTCACACACTGAAATGGCCTGAAATTTTATCTGTATGCTCACTATCAGGGAGCCTTATGAGAATTTTCATTGGAAAGCACAGGGGCAGAGACAGGCTGTATTAATGCAGTTGCACACATAGATGGAGCCCCAGCACAGACAAAACAAATACATTCCCTTGGCCTTAGTGCTAGTAATAAGTACTACTGCAACTGAAGATTCAAATTCAAGTTCATCAGCATTTAAATAACGAGATATTAAAGCTGCTACCTTACTCACTGACTATGCTTTATGTACAGTACAGAGAGCTACAGGTGACTTTCGCCTTCTTAGCAAGGTCAGAAGCTTTATAGTACAACTCAAGAGCAGCATGTGCTTTGCCTTATTACAACCAGGCAGTATACTAGGGTTTGACCTACAGAACCGCACATGCAAAAGGACTGCAGATACTGCAGTCCCGAGCACATCTGTGAAGTTTGGTGCCACCGCATTAGAGATCAGAACAGCAGGACACTGGTGCCACACAGTAGAGAGACACCTGGTAAGATTCCCAATGTTAAGCAACACTACTGACAGCCCAGGAAACACTGTCTCTCAGTAGCAGCTTGGCTCTTCAGCAGACTATTGCTGCAATATGGTTCAAACCCCTATACAGTGCAGTTTATGGTTCGCATTTGCTGCCCGCTGGAATTCACAGACCGGACCCAAGTACCAAAGCTCCCTACACAGTGCACTAGAAGCCTTCAGAGCAAAACAACTACAAAAGGACAATGTGCCATAGTTAAATGGCATGCCTTGTTTCAAGCTGCTTGGGAACGTCTACACTACCCAGCAGTCAATTTTTGAGCCATAACCCAGGATCCAGAATAACCAAGGAGGAGCTGATTCATACAGCGTGAAACACTGCTGTGAGACTTAAGTGTCACTGTTCATTCAGGGTTCACAACTACAAACCTCTCCTTCAGCCAGGTGGCTATGTCAGCTCTTCCTCATAAAGCTCAGCTGTGCAAGAAACCTCCGTGTTCTTTCAGCTGCCAGCATAGTTGTTACAGCACTTACTCAAGATGTGGAGAAACAGATTTAAATCACTTCTGTGCCTGAGCTGTCTTGAACCCCCATTTTGCAAAGCAGTGGCCTAGATATTCCAGATGAATTGAAGTGCTTTCAGTCTTCTCTGAGGAAGCTGTTGCAATGCTGCTGCAGTTCCCCTTTTGTTGGTATGTCTTAAGGGCTTTAGATCCTTAGAAGGGTAAACACAGCTGAGTAGGAAAACTGAGAACTCAGTTATGCCACACACACTTTCTTTTTTGTACATCTAGTGCAGCAATAGCTTACTAAAGAAGATGACTGACCAAAGTCCAAATGGTAATTAGAACAGGGCATCTTGGAGCTCATGAGCCTATCCTGAACTACTGTAACAACCACAACAATCTGCCTGAGCTCCTGAAAACGAAGTCTTAGCCTAAAGGTTTCACTACCATAAATTCTTACCTTGAACCTTATGTTACCTCCAGAACAGCATGAGAATCTACTTATGATGAATTGTTTAACTTACTGAGTTTTTAGCTTTTCTGCAGTTCTTATGAATTCAACTTTCTTAGCTTGTTCAGCTTTCATCTTCCGGTTCTGAAATTGTCGACCAGCACCTGCAGTACTGGAACAGCTGTCATTCTGTACATAACAAAATCAAATATTATTCAAAAACAGTATTTATTTTTTAAATGCTCATTGGTTATTTCTAAGCAGACAACACCACAATGCAGAGTAGCAGCATTACTTCAGTTTTATACTGGCACAATTCAACTAATTTTAAGTCACACGGGAATAAGACTGGAGTGATGAGTGATGGCAAGCTGATGACCATACACAAAAATGCATTCTTCAACAGAAAAATGGAGATACCGCAACATCAGCTTGCTTTAACAGAGGCTGCTCACCACACTGCAATACTAAATCAAGGCAACTGCCTTGCCTCTCATGGCACTCAGTCTCTTGACGAGTCACAGTAACTACCTACCTAAGTATAAGCACGTAATCTACACTAGGCAGATTACCCCCATTTCATCTTGTTCAAGAAAACCACTAGCTTAACGTCTGAAACGTGCTTAATATCCCTTGCAGATTGCCAACTCTTACTCATAGCAACCCTCAACATCCTTAACATAACCACTGCTAGGAACAGCAGACCATGAAACGGCCTGTTCAGGTTGTGAAGCTACCATTTTGAGGCCAGCTCAGCAAACCCACACTGCTTCCCACAGTTTTCTTTTTAACGTTTATCCCTCCACCTTGTACGAGGCCGGCACTCCTCAGCGGCCGCCCCCCGGCGGGCCCGCAGAGCGGGGCTCCCCGCGGCCGGCGGGAAGGGCCG